CTGTTAGTGCAGCAACCATTTCTGCTTCAGTCTCTACTTCCACTGCTTCTACGTCTTCTTCAGCTTCCACCCTTTCTTCTACCTCATTATCAACTGCCAGTGCACAAACAACCTCAGCCAGTTCAGACGTTTGCATGCAGTGCCATTATAACGCTGAGTGCATCGAATCGTCAAAGGGTGCTATCTGCCGATGTTTGCCTGGCTTCACGGGCAGCGGACGAGAATGCGACGGTTCGCCGTTGAAATTTAGCTGATAGCGGTTTGCCTAACTAAGCAATTCAGATTTTGACGAATGTATTTCTGGTCGAAACCCTTGCCATCGCCATGCGAAGTGTACCAACACTTTTGGTGGCTTCACCTGTGAGTGCCTCTCAGGCTACCGAGGTGATGGCATCAAACGCTGCGACAGTGTAACCGGTGAAAGCACCACAACTGGTAATTATTTTGTATATTGATCGTTATGGCCTTGCGTCGCATTCTTAGTGCACTTCAGTACGTTGTTGAGTAACAGTGCCACTATTGAAATCTATTTTCTGAGGAGAGGACGGATTAAAATTATGATTCGGATTATTCTTAAATCTAAATTTTCGAAATCATTTGGGTTTAAATTATTTATAAAATTCGTTACTGCATATTATAATATTTTCAGGTGATTACATGCTTCCGATAAAGTGAATGTCGCCAATCGTACAGAAGTATTTCAGTTCAGCTTCGAAATGAATTGTCGTACATGAGGAGGTTTTATTGCACACAGTATCTTAAGTAATTACATGATCGTCACTACAAAATAAGAAATAGATGTCGCCCATAATTTTCCCCTATGAAACCGTGCGAAAACTCTCATCTTATAACCTCTATTCCCTTAACTGATGACGATTGGTTATCTGCAATGAGTTTTCTCCTTGTGGTCATCATCCCAAAAGCTTTCAATCCCTGAATAGCAGAATAACATAGATCTATGACGTAGAACGCTTTGCAGTAGAGTCTGATATTTCCATTATAAGTAACAACAGCAAAACAGGGCTTATACCTTTTGTTGCTTGTCATGTTGAATAATCAGCTATCAGACGTGTCAAGCCAAATTATGATCCTGATGCGCTCCCCTCAGATAGCATGGCCGTTTTTCCAACCGATTCTGGTATGACCATACCTGAACACAATGATGCCTCTGTTGTTCGCAGGTCAACGGCATGCCTACCTGTTCCCGGCTGATTGCACAGAAGCAGCGTGGGCTAAATTCTTTACTGAGGAGAATTAGCGGTTATGACAGATTTGGTCATCGGCATCTCCAGAGTTCGAATCTAACCTATATGCCAGCGTTCTTACTGTTCAGGATCTGAGGCAACAGATGGTCTGACTGTCTGAAACCTTGGGACGAAGATGATAACTTTGAAATTTTTAATGATGGCGAAAATGTCATATTGTGGTCACGGAGAGCTTGCGAGCAACGTATAATTTGAGGGATTAAATCATTTAACTGATACAAATGACCATCTGTAATTATATAGTCTGACTCTCAATTAAGCCACTACGCGCTAACTTCACGACCTCGACCAGTCACCACGAGGGGTACATAAAATACTATGAAAATCATCGGCATTCGTAGCTTTACAACGGCTTTGCATTGTGCCCGCGGGGAGCTTCTCATTGATAGCCAACAATAAGAGCGAAGTCAAAGAATTGACTGCAGGTGACCATATACTAGGGACAAATTGTAACAAACTTGTGACCGCAGACTACGCACTAAGATTCTGGCATCTCAGTCGTCAAAATGGAATTGTAATAAGAAACTCATTAGTGTGACAAGGGCATCGTGCTTCACTATCCATTGGTACACAACATTGTACGCTGAATTACGTAGTTGATGCAGCTGACCACTATCCAGCGATACTCATTCAATGCGGCGTCCGCAGGTTGAGCGTTGACACCAGCCAGCACTTTGCGTCCATTTGGATGCACCAAGATTTCACAGACTGTCGATATTCTATGAAAAACCTTCTTTAGCGACCAGTGGACGATTCGCATGAAAGAAAAAGTTTGAAACGTATTTGTATCTGCATTTTAAATTTTAATTTAATTTTAATTTTTTATGCTTACACTTGCGTAGTTTTCCAACTTACAAGGAATTAAGACAGATTTC